CCTGAGAGGTGAGGGGGAAGTTGCCCGGTGACTTATTCTTCTTCCCGCCTGCGCCTTGATTCGAAGCAGAATGAGGTGGCATGTTGTTACCCGAGGGAGTGCTGCCACTCGTTGCTGATGACTTTCGCTTTCTCCTTTTACTCGGTGGTCGACTGTTCTCTGTAAGTGAGGAAAACAGAACACATATTTGGCTATTTTCTCTCTTAGAGTAGACTCATTTTATATCAAAAAATTTCTATAATTTACCAATATTTCTATATACATGTATAAGGTAATTTAGTTTCATGTCAGTCACGACATAAAAAAAAATCACAAAAAATCTGATCAACAGAACAATAATGAGATAACGTATCAATGCAGTGCAGAACGCATGTTCTGTGGGTGTTCAGGATGAATGGTAGTGAGCACAGCCAAAATAATACAATCCTACTTCTAGTAACACCTGAAATCATCTACCTAACAAAATGTCAAGGTCAAGTAATTGCCAATGACAAATTCTGGTACTAAAATTTTAAATAAATAATACCAAATGATGATAAAACTACACTCTCAAAGTTCAACATTCAACAAAAATAATTGGTACACTATGTTAACATGAACTAATTTCATAAATCAGTGAACATACATGTATAACAAAACACATTTCAAATCCTTGAAGAATATTTAAACAGTATGTATCGATCTTAGTTTGAAAAAAAATAATACATTTGCCTCCTACGTGTTATTAGCTTCAACGAGTTAAAATATATTAACCATACCATATAGAAATGCTTCGACCATAAACTTTAAACCTAAAATTCATAACTTTCTACAGACATTATCGTTCACACAGGAGCCATGTGACCACCTTTCATTTGACAGTTTTTCGCAAAATCCTGATCCAGCCCTAATCGCACTAGTCCATTTGTAGACAAACAATGAGAAGGCGATATCAAAAAGTGAGTGGCTATAAAGTTGAAAATTTTAACAACAAAAAATAAATATATGGACAACAGTTTCAGTGGCTGAATGGCACTTGTGCAATGCCAGTGAATGTACATCAGAGCGGCTCCATATTCAGGATATGCCTTACCTCTCATTTTGTGTTTTCCTTTTGCTATGTAAGTGTCACCCGGCGAAAAGTCTTGCAAATTATCTACAAGGCCAAAAAGGGGATAGGAAGGTTGGCAAGGTTCGCATGTTTGCTCATAAATTGACTTTTTCTTTCTTTAGAAAAAAAAAGGACAGAAACATAGGTCACATGACTCCTTTAGAGTATTTCTGATTTGCTCTCATTTGCTTGGAAAACTTAGTTAGGGGGTTTCACACAAGGGGTGTTCGCAAACAGGAAATGGTGCAGTATTCATATGAAGGTTCAGGGGAAGGTACGTACAAAGGAAAAAATCAAAATAGCAAAATTTTAGTGCCAGAATTTTGTTTTTAATGTTTACCTTTTTTTTAAACAAAAACGTGATGAAATTTGATGGATGAAAGCAAGGCAGAAACAGGCTTCATGAGCCATGTGTCAACACATAACTAAACTAATCAGCTAAAGCTACAAAAATATTATTAGTATGCAACACAAACACAAAAAATAAATAATAAAAATAGTTTAGTTTGTTAAACTAATTATTTTACACCAATTACAAATTATCATTTTCAAACAAAACATTACTATATGATGGCGGCAGAGTGAATTGGAATTGGCTGTAATGATGATGATGATGGCAGTGAATTGGCTGTCATGACGATGATGATGACACACATAAAACAAACACACACACACACACTCATTCATTCATTCATTCCTTTTTTCATTCATTCATTCATTCATTCATTCATTCATTCATTCATTCATTCATTCATTCACACATTGACAATTTTAGATACTTCTGTGCTTGTTTAGAATGAAATGTATTTCACCTTATAACCCTTTTGTTTTAACAACCAAAGCCTGTTAATACATTTCCTTTCTCTCACAATCCACACCACACACTAGAGGGCAGTATTACCCAGAAGTCTACACAGCATTCTTCCAGAGAACAAGATAGACAGTAACATTTTATGCAACAAATATTTTTCCTTATTTGTGAAAATTGAAAAATATTGTAACAGTAAAACTTTCACTGAGGTCCTAAATACAGGGAAATCAGAATGTTAAGTTTATCTGCTTCACCTGCTTTGTCAAATTAAAGAAAAATTTGCAAAGTAAACAAAGTAAAACTGTGGTTGCTTGAATTTGTTTTTATAAGATGAAATCCTGCATTAAAATGGATTACATTAAATAAAGTGACACTCAATTGGTTCTCTGCAAGAATGCTGTATGCAGGCACAGAAAAAAAGAAAAAGACAGACAGACAGACAGACAGACAGACAGACACACACACACACACACACACATACACAAACAAACAAACAATGAATACCTGGTGGTGCAACCATTCTTTGCCATTTCTGGAAGAGTGTCGTTTTAAGACAATCTCTAGGACTAAGGCTGTAAGCTTTATGCCTTGACATCAACTCTTGCATTGGTTCTAATATCACACACAACTGACAGAGGAAAACAGTAAAAATTGTCATTAATTTCACACTATGATCAATGCATTGTGAGCAACATTACCCACATTTCAATTTTCATAAAATATTCATGTATAAACAAAAAGAACAAATGTAATCCAGTAAAGTTTTTCTTTAACAATGGGTTATTATATTTTATTCAAAATAGTCAGTATTTACCCTAAATGATAACATTTTTGCCAATACATGTAATTGGTTGCAACATTTTGTACGTTTTAGTGTATTTTTCAATAATTTCTTTGTTAATTTGGGTCAAAATTTTCAACTATCAACAGATATTTAATAGAATTGTTTAAAAACTTATGGTAAGATTATGAGAGTTTATTTTGTGAAAGGTGCTACTGTATTCTACACAGGTGAGGTCATTGCAGAGTACATCCATTAATGTACAAATAAATTCAGTGAAAAATAAGAAATAGTTGAAATATAAACAAAGTACAAAACAATGGTTTCTTTAGCTGTTTGACCTTAAATAAGATTTTGAGAAACTGAGTATCAACTTATTTCTCAAGAACTGCATCAAAATTGAATCAAATGTCATTTTATGATTTTATATGCCTATTATAAAAAAAGAAACAAATGAAAGTGAATATGATAGAACAGTGTTGACAATGGGCCAAGAAAATAAATGCGTTTTTTTTTTCTTTTTTAGATGACATTTTACAGCTGAACTTTAGGCAGTCGCCACGCATGTTTACGTTTTGCTCGCTTGCTTGTCGTAGTGGGTGGTTGACAAGATTTGGTTGTTTGCATCCAAAGATAAAATGATGGCGTTGTTTACTGTGGATGTTATTATATATACATGTATATGTCCCTGTTAATAAACCAACGTATGGGTGACGTTGTCACAACAGATAATAAGCTAGATGTAGATGTGTAGATGAGTGAGGAACATTTATCATCAGATATTCGCTATTGGCAAAAATGTAAACAAATGACATTACAGTGCGACGGCCTATAGTTAAGTTCATAGCTCAGTCTACAACTTAAAAGGCTATGGGATTTGTCAACCCACATCAATGCAATTCAGCTAGTATAGTCAGACAGCTAAATAAACCCACACAAATAAATAATAGAACCCATGCTTCACTAAACAATTCCATGGCAATACTGATATACTGTAAATTACACATTTTGTTGTAAAGAATTTCCGAATTTTGAAGATGTTCATGAGAACAATATTAAACAAAACTCCTTGTGACTTTAGACTCCAACGAAATTTCAACTGCTTACAAAATTTTGCAATTTTGACTGACTAAAAAAGTGTTGTTTTTTTTTAAATGTGCCTTTTGCAAAATTAATGCGGTTTACAGTATCGTTGTTTTAGGCTAGCATTCTTCAACTAGAAAAGGAAGCATCCATCGTTTAACTGCTGATGACAATTCACAATGTTCAGAAAACAGCAATTTAAAAAAATAAATTCCATTTTATAAAGATAAAAGTAGTTGCCAGTGGAGATTAGCTCAGTTACGGGTGGTAAATACATTGTAAAACACAGAAGAGCTATAAAAGCCTTACCCGGAGGTAGTTTAGAGTGTAGTTTGTGAAACCAAGTCTGGTCACATTTTTGGACATGTGCTCTAACATGTGAGGATCCTGTGTGTGGTACTGCAAACATGTACACACGTGGAATTAGAATAATAGCGACAAATGATAGCTATCACTGGGGTAGAGGGCAATGGCCGTGGGGGGCATGGGCAGAACGGCACAGGAGGGAAGTGAACTTGGAAAAAGCTTACCCGGAGATAATTTAAAGTTTGGTTGGTAAGTCCCTGCCTGGTGATGTTCTTGGATAGCTGTTCTAGCATTTGAGGGTCTTGTGAGTGATACTGAAAATATGCAGGCATGCAAAAATTGAGAACAAAATCACATGGATTGAAAAAGAAGGTGTGTGAGGGATGTCAGTGTCCAGTGCACACGAGTTCAGCTAATAGGTGCCACACCCCTTGTTCTTATATATAAAGAAGGGAATTTTGACACAGGGATTTCATAAACTACTTTAAAACACATCTTTTAGCTAGCATGTCATTTTAGCTAATTTAGCTAACCTGTAATTTTGCTAATTCAAGATGTCGCTGATTTAGAATAAAGTATATTCTCACGATGAGATTATTGGCATTTTAGCTAAATTGAGATTTTGTAAATTCATGTATTTAGTCAAATTTGCTAAAATGACATGTAGCTATTTCAATGTGTTTCACAGTATTCACTGTGACAAGATAGTTAAAGTTATAGGTAAAAACATCCGAAATAGTATTTGTATTTTAACCAATATTTCATTTGAAATAGATACCAGAGAAAGGTTCAACACATGGGGTAATCATAACGTCATTATTTCCATAGTGTGGGTACCCAACTTTATATTTGTTTTTTGTTATTTATTTGATAGAACCTTTCGTTCAGCCAAATAACAAGAATTCACAGTGCTTTTAAATTGACTTCATTTTCACTAGTTAGCCATGGCCAACAATTATGAAAATTTTTACTTCAATATGAAAAACAAAATGAAATGCATGGCACCAATAACTGCTCAGTCCCCGGACACTGAATAAAGGTAGACACACGAAGTATTTACATATCAATATACTATATATACAGGTTACAACATTACAGCACATCTTCAGGGTGTGTGAGATATACAAATCTTGCTTGTACCCACAATGCAATATTGTACGCATATATGCCTGGTATATCCAATAGGTTCACTACACATTTATAACCAGAGAACGTAATTCAATTCAATGTTCACAATTTTTTCCACAAAGCATATAATTTCATTTGACAGCGCCCTCACAGTCAGACCCTAACTTCAACTGGTTGAGGGCGCCTTTGTACTTTGTACTTGTACAACAACATAATTCAGGCCACATTGAAATATTTGAACACAGTTGGGAATAGGTTTGCGTATTTCTCTGATCACAGCGGTCATCCAGGGTTAGTCTACTTCACGTCAAACTATTCAAACGAAAAAACAATTTATAATCATGCAACATGCAAAATGATCAGAAAAATAGCTTTCCATTTTTTTTTTAATATGTCACAATAAACCAAAATTATTTGAGCATTACAAAATTCCAAGAAAAAATAATTGATTTTGGAATTTTTATGGCAACAAAAGGAAACAAATCTGATTCATGTAGAATTATAAGTTTTGCGCACAAAAAAACAACGTTGCTTAATTCTTCTGACTTCAGTGTAATTAAAAATTCATGACACATCGCTCGGCAACTAACTGTGTTCCCTTGGCAACAAGACATTGTGACAAAAATAGACTAGACAGAAACAATCCCGAACAAAAATTGCTGCAATATTATCATACTAGAAATATGATTGTGTTGTTAATATATAAACAAAATGCAAAATCTGCAAGAAAATTTTCTTATCATGACCTAAATCAGAAATATATTTGCAATTTATATTAACCTTTCTAAACCTTTGAACTGCTTCCATTTTCGCATAGGCTAATTGATTTTTTTAAATAGGACTCGCTTTCTATCCAACAAAAAAAGTAAAGGTCAAGAGGTCACATTTTTCAAACATTTCAGCAAAAATACAGTTTCTTTGTCTATGAAAATAAATTTTATATATGATACTTCATTTGTTTTGATTCTCCCATTTAATGATGCCTAGGCTCAAAGTTACAATGAAAAAAAAAAGGTTCTCCATGCAGTTTCTTAACAACTACCATAAACATATCAAACATCTTGTATATTTACAGATGGCTCAAGATGATGCATTCAAAGTGCATTGTGGGGAATTCTACGGGCAAACTGGAGAGATGAATTATGTAAGGGTTTATACATGCAATGAACAATATTGGAGTTGACGCAAACTGACCTGCATTGCTATGACGCTCCGTGGTATCAATTCCCTGTGTTGTCGTATTGCAAAATGCCAGGAACGTATTCTCATTAGGTCATCAAATGTGAACTCCAAAACTAATCGTCCTTCTGTACAAACCTAAGGAAAAATAAGCCAAACTGCCATTATTTATCATTGAATCGAACTATTTCATGAAAATGACAAGAATATTTGAAGAATATGCAACAAGTATGACAGATGAAGAAGAATTGCAGAAAAACAAAGTACAATGTTTATTTCACAAAACAAATTCCGTTTGTAAAGAAAGGAAAAATTCATGAAACTTTACAGCAGTGGAAGGGTGTTTTTTGTTTGTTTATTTAGAGTCACCTTTTTTTTTTTTCCAATGACTTTTTGCAATATTTTGTAAACAAATTAAATCTATTATTTAACAAAACAGTAAATAACAGATGTCTTACCTTTGTAAACATAGGTTTACCATGATGCGTTATCATGGTTGCTTGATCACAATCTAACGTAATTGTTGTGTTATGAAAAGACTCCTTAGGGTGCTTAAGAATATAATACAAATCAGTCACTCCCCCTTCAAATATACTTCGAAAATAGCGAGGTATAAGCGTCCTACCAATTGCTGTTGAACAAAATAAAGAGCGGATAGCACACTAATGACTGTTTTTCATAAAGTTTTAAAAACACTTGATAAAAAAGATAAGCATTATTTATTAAGTCATGTCCATAATTACCTTGAAATACAACTCCAATAAAAATGCACATAAACCAACAAACTTATTCAGTGTAAGCTGGATAATTAAAATAGGAGTTATTTTGACAGCTCTGTTATTTATGCATGTGCATGCATTGCAAATAGAGCAAATATGGTAAATTTCACAGCAGGGCAGCAGCCAAGAAACATTTTATCAGTATTTATGTTTACAGCTCAGTAGTTTAAAGTCAAAAACAATTTGGTAATGCAAATATTTATTTAAATTTATTCAGGCCAGATGAACACACTTGTAAATGCCATCTGATTAGTACTCAAAGATTATTAAGGAGCATTTACTTAATAAGTTTCAAATTTTATATAGGATGTAAAATGGCTTGATTTTACTAAATATGATAATACCATATTTTCAATAGAAGTGTATAATAAACCCAAAATTGCATGAATATTAAATCATTGAAATGTAGCTTATTTTGATAAAATAAACACCTCTGTTATTTACATAAAAACATATGTTACTAATAAAGTAATTATGGCAGTTTACTTTGTTCAATACTGCTACACAATATTAATACATGATAAATATAGAGGGAAGTATAGATGTATGGGTTCAAATTTTGAAAGTGAAAGCCCCCCACAGTACTTCATATCACAATGGCTAAATTTATATTTACTTGCAAAACAGAGCAACGTCTCAGGGATGAATACAAACAAATGTTTATAATGATATCATGTGTTATCTGGACAATAAAAATGACTTTGGTAGACATTGAATTGCTTACTACATGTACATGATTGTTTAGTATGGAGTATGGTCTTTTGTAAAAATGCTTAGAAACATGATTTGATGATTATGTAATCCTAAAACCAGGAGCAAACTTAGCAGTTGACAATGTTATTTATGAGGATCTTACACAGTATCTGATTGAACAATTATTACAAGAACACCAATGACAGGATTAAACTAAATGTGGCGGTATTTCTTATTTAAACTTTATTATTTTTCATCCCGTTCTGTTGTATGCATTATGATGTATGTTATAACAGACTGAATTATGGCAAAAAAACACATGAAATTTACCATTGCAATCTATGAAAGAATGTGAAATCAGCGAGTGACATATATTGATTCCAATATAACAGGCTACATTGTTGCTACATTTGACATCAACATAGTGTTTAGACATAAGTACAACACAAAATTTCAGAATCACATAACATGTGTGCGTAATATGGTGAAATACATTGATAGAAAATCCTATTACTTTCAATGTACAATATTTGCTCCAATAGTTCAAGACAGTAATTCAGGGTTTGCGCTAGTGTCTCAGCAACCGAGTCCCACTTACAAAATTTTAAGTAATTGAAATTTGACTCTGGATAACTTTATTAGAGATTAGACCCCAGCATGCCTGAAAAACTGGGGTCCCTCTTCAATAATTGGAGTCCGGGAAGCAAAATATGGGGTTAACGCAATCCCCAAGTTGTGTATGCACTTAAATAAATTACAGAGATGTGTGTTTGGTTGAAATCAGTAATATTTTAATGATTCAAGACAATAAGTCATGACAGAAATTGTTATTTCAAATAATGTATTAATTTTCTCTTGCTAGAGATAGTTGCATCATCATTTGGCAACTTTAGTTTTCAAGTCCATATTTGTATTTGACTGAATTGAACTTTGAAGACACAAAATATGTCTAGGCACGTTGAAGAAATGGCTAAAGACACATAAAATAAAACAAACATGGTCACCTGTCGTCCAATTTTAATCAAATTATAAAACATCATGCCAAGTTTGAATAAATTGGGCCAAGCATACCTGAGAAACGGTTAATGACATGGTCAAATGTTTATTTTTAGTAGTTTTTGGGAAACCAGTCAAAGGTCAATGAAATGAAAAATAAATCAAAGTGCATATACTAATATGACTTAATGTCCCACAAATATAGACTATCAATATAATCGTCTTAGCTGTTTCAACAACTCAAAAATATTCACTAAAATTAGAGAATACAAGTTATCATCACAAAATCTGACAGAAACCCACACAAAATACCTTCCAGGAAAGTATCAAAGCAATATGGCTATTGCTTTTCAGAAGAAATAGAAAATCTGAAGTTGACAACTACACACATGTAGCTCCATTCTGTCAACAATGGAGGTAAAAAAAGGTAAGCACAAGTAAACTCAAAGTTTAGGTTTGGAAGCTTATTATTATCCCTTGATTTAAATAGACCAAATTCGACACACAGACACCAGCTAGCTTGTTTTTATCAATATTACACAGTAAAATAATTGGACCGACCTTTGGTATTTATGAATCGCACAAACACGCCATGCTGAGACATGTACAAATTATGGCAGCTTTTTTTTTGTTCCAAAATTGAGGCAATTGCTGATCTTCGGAGTGAGTCTTTTGTTAGAGTTTGTGAAAAGCTAAGCAGAAGAGAAGTAGTCATGTGACTCATATGTGACTAACAGTAACAATGTTGGAATATTCAAATAAAATATGTTTGTTTCTCAAAAAATCTATTCATTTTTTTTGTAATCGAACATTCAAATTTTTATTTTGATAAATTTCCATGATTTCTCGATTTAAAAATATTCACGATGATGAAATTTTGCAAAATTCAGTGAAATGTTTACAATTTATGAAAATTTGACTTACAATATTCATAATTCTAAGGGTTTAAAAATATCTGCTATTTCTGACTCATTTTGCAGTCCATGAAAGACAATGAAATAGCCATAATTGACCGTACATGTATGTGGAAATGCCTTATGCGAAAAATTGGTAAATTATGATTACTAATGTGATTCAAGTAGATATACGGTCTGATAAAACAAAACGTGATTTTTTTCAAAAAAATCTACATCAGTTCTGATTCAGTTCAGCCTAGATAAGTTAAAAATAGATGAAATTTACAATACCACTTCAAAACTGCTGACCAGATGTTAGTACAGAAAATATTTCTTATATAGAGACAGGTTTTCTATATTCATCTACTGTTTCATTGTTATAATTGTTACCCCAACCTTGAACTTTCCAAAGAGAAAAAAAATTAACCATGATGATTTTAAAGCTGTTAATATTAATAGCAAGTTTACTGCTTTGCTGTATGAGACAAAAGACAAATGATTTCATCCAAGTAAGCCATAAAAATGGACACAATTACCTCAACCCGATCAACAAAATATATTCCTGAGGGATTAAAAAAGCGAATGAATAAATATATGTGAAAAATAGACATTAAAACCAATGAGAAGACTATATTCTGACAAGATTCAGGAAAATTGTAGAGCAAATTATAAAATTATAGGATAGATGGAAACATGGATGACATGCTGTTACAATCTTGTAATGGGATTAACATTATATGCATGTATTAGATGTAGCATAAAGATATGGTGTGTTTTACCTTTGGAGCCAATAGAAAATGTTGGATAAAATATAAAATTAGGATTTCATAAAGCCGACGAAACACAGTATGACCAGTTGACTATGATTGGAATACATGTGAATTTTACAGTATGCAAGCTGATGTCAACAATTATCTCAGTCGCTGTCTCAGTCATCAAGACTGAACATATTTATGATTCGTCATTGACCAATTGCTTTCTGGAATATTATAAGGCACAATTGTCGCCGTGTCCGAGAACTCACAAGGCAATGGTACAGTAGCCTATACATGTAATAAGGTAAACAAGGAGTTGACCATACACTAAAGAAACAAATTACAAAAACTGGAGAAATTTGTGTACAAGACAAAATTAAAATTAAATTTATTAAGCATTATTGTAAATTACCCGTAATGACGGGTGCCGAGGGAGAATAAAGTATCGTAACCATAGACATATTATAACAAATGAATAAAATACAACTATCTACATCATGGATCTTGAATTGCCATGACAACCTATGAGGGTAAAAACTGAAGGTTTGTCAAGAGACACCTCAAGTGATTATGTATGGTAAGTGAGACTCCCTAGGCAGCTAAATATTATCTTTCATCCAATAGTGCAATTGCTTTGACTTTTAAATGTTACACAGACGGTGGGATTTGACTTGAGATACTAATTTCTTATTGTAAAAATAGCATGATGTCATTGTGTACATGTATTGTGTAGAATGCACAAATGTTATAATTTTAATACTTATTATAATCCAGATTGATACAATCTGAACAACAACACGTGTTGATATACTAAGGTGGCAAATCCCTGGTTTATTTACATGTTACAAAGGCACAACGGGGATACTATTACTAGGATAGCTACTCATTTTACACATTTTAAAATTGAAACATTTTAAATTCTCAGTGGGTCAATGAGTTACACCTAACCTATGGTCGTGTTCAGTCAATATTTGATTACAAAAACTAAATAGTGTGACGTATTGACGAGTTGGGAGAAGAGAAGCGTCTGAAACAAAGAGATGATAGTGACAAGGAATATCACTTACCGTATCTTTTTGGTCCATCTTCAAGACAGAATGATAACGTTAAACTGGCATCGTCTTCAAAAAATTCTGATGCAAACGCATCCCACCATAAATTATCACTCTCCTGCACCTTTGAAAAAATAAAACAGAATACGACACACTGAGAATTGGAGTGAAAAAAAAAACAGAAAGAAACATAACCAGTGAATTAACCATCTTAATTTGACATGAAGGGATTTTCTGATAACGTAGAAGTTATGCATGTTTTTTGAAAGTACTTAATTTTTTTTCTTCTAAATTTTTTCTTTTACACTTATGTTTTCTACACAAGAATCTTTCTGTAGGATTCAGAAAAGCAAATTTTAACAGAGGTCTGCGGCTCTGTAAGTTTACAGATTTTAAAGTGTACGTGTTTTTTTTTTACCTGTAGTAAATAATACTACCTCGCATATTAGTTATTTATAACATTGCATAATTAATCTAGTAGACTGTTTGGATTATTACAAAATGCAACTAATATTTTTTTAATGTCTGAAGTGGTGTATATTAAATATTCAAGAACAGAGCCTGGCCTTGAGATTGTTTCATTCCTCTCTCAATGATGAATCATTTTATATCTACATAACACATACTACCGATACAAGTATAAACTGTTATCACCAGCAGTAATGCTCACAACTTTTATGATTTAACTCGCACAATGCCATCATTTTTGTAATTTCTTCAAATTTTAAACCAACTGCACACAAGTTTCCATTCCATTCAGATCTTGATCAAAATTTGTTGGCAACTATTGTCAAAAATATTTTTTTTTCAGAAATTTAGTTCAAAATTTGTACAGGATGTTGAACCAACATTTTGGTGAAAAAAAATGATGGGATTCAGAATGTTAAGAAGCACGATGTGATTTCACTTCAAAACACTTTAGTTATTGGAAATGTGTCTATTGTGAAACTAAAGCATAGTCCAGTGGATATATATGCTAAAGCATTGTTAAAGTTCAAAACATCAGCTCACTAAGAAATGTTTCTTCAATTTGTAATCACCTGCAAAAGATGATGAAATATCCATGGTAACCAACTGTTGTTAATATTCTCAGAAATTTGCCTACTGACAATACAATTTTATTTTTGTTATCTAAAACATGATAGCATTATAAAATTACAAAGTCAAGCATATTTGTGGATGCACTATTCAAGTAGCTTCAACATTTCAAATATTTTAGTGAGATAAATTTGAACAAATACAATGTATGCATGAAGCAAATTTTGAGCTTTATTCATGACATCACAAATTTGACCATGGCCAAGCCTTTTATGGACATGAAACTACCAAATATGGGCAAATGATAAAAAAAGACAAAGGACAATATTTATTGTGAAATAAGGCAAACATTTATCAGCTGCAGAATAATACTTGAAATTAAATAAAAAATAATTTATTGCTTATAGTTTCTCCTTCAATCCCTCCCACACTGCACTGCTACCACTTATAGTCAGCCATGTTTTAAAAACTTGGCAATTTGCCAAGATCTACTACACAGAATTTCTGCCTGCATTGTAAATTTACATAAATGCCAGGCGCTACAACAAGCTTATGAAAGCATTCATAATTTAGAAAAACAATAACAGACAAAACATGACAGAATAATAAAATTAGAAGCAAGAAAGACAAATATAATTGGACTAAATTATGACATGCACATCTATTTAATTGATTCATTTACAGATTTCCACATTAAAATGATTGCTGTGAATTAACAAAAATATTATCCAGCGATCTTGTCACAAATGTAACACAAAACATACAACACAAATTAATATTCATACTCCAAACAAAAATGCCAGCCTGAAACTGAATACCCACTGGTGTAATTCCATCTTGTAAAAATATATGTGTTTATCAACCATAATTTCATTAAACTTCTAACGAGTGGATAATACTACAGGTGCTAATGAACAATTGTTTTTTGAATTTTAAAGAAAAAATCTGTTTAGATGGTTAATTCAAACAAATTCAGTTCAGCAATATTAAATAATTCTTAGAATTATATACACTAATTTTTTTCTATCTACGCCAATTGCTGACTAGCTTTTTATTTTTTCTTGATAACAAAAATTTCAAATATCTTCAAATTTGGTTTAATTATCTTTTGAATGCTATACTTTCCCGGCCAAATTCTGGTGTAACAATTTCGCAAATTTATGTATGTATCAATATTTCTTAATTTGTAATCAAATTAGCATAATTTTTAAAAACTGCTGAAAAATTATGTAGATTCATTTTGCTAAGTTGATAAAAGCAGACTTGGTTCAAACTACTGTACATGCATGTAACCTTCTTTATAACTTTGCTTGCTTCGTTTTCAGAACAAAATTATAGTTGGTGTACTGGTATATTGTAAAAGGGTTAATTATTTACTGGGTTTTAATTTTGCTTATTTCGCTGATTAGAAAATGCGCTAAATTAAAACCCAGCATAGAACACATTATCTAAATGATAAAACCATGACTTTAATACCCATTGAATATGCCTGAAATGGTAAATGAGCAATATTTAAACCCAGTGAAAATTAGTCATTTTACAATACTGTATTAGCTCTACTTGAAAGCACACAACAATAGAAGTACATATAAACCATTAATTGCATATGTTTAAATTAAAATATTGCTTTTCCCCATAGAAACACCATTGCAACACTATTTATAGAGCAATACGGTAATTTTTAAAATAAGTTTAATTCTGTTAAAATTAGGACCACACTTTTAGGCAAATGAAAAAAAAGTTATATATTTGCTCTTAGTGCATGCACTTACTTAGGCAAGGCTGTGGTCAAAGTAAGAAGGATTTCAATGATTTATGTTTGGTTTATGTTTGGTTTATGTGTGCTTCAGGTTTCTCCCCAAGCCATTATAACAATATTCAGCATAACAATAAATATAATAGAAGTGATTAACATATACTATTGTTATGCAAATTAGTTAATAATACAAGGAGATCACAGATGCTTATACATGTATTGGAGAAGCATGTCCCATAGTATAAATGCAGTATTATTTATAATGCCTTTTTATCACTTTTTACCAAAAATGACAAAAATATTCACCAAAATAGACAATTTGAGATTTTGACATGAAATGAACAAATCTTAGAAAGGACCATCCAAGGTACTTGCATATCAAATTTGAAAACATTCTGACTTGAGGTTTCGAAAAAGAAATTGTAAAGTTGACAGCGACATGTGATGACTTTTCGACAGCGGAGCTAAAAAAAAATTTACTGTAAACTTAAACTTTTACTGAGGAGAATATTCGCTATATGGTTTACTGAGAATACTCAAGATAAAATACTACAGACAACTGACTGACTACTGACTAATGTAGAACACTGAATCAGAGAATTGGATGACTAAAATGCAGAGGTAGTTATTATTCATGAATAAGTAGTGACTTTAAATGAAGAAATAATCTAATCTTAGTTACAGAAAATGAAAACTGACGATGATGATGTACTCAGATTAGTTTCTACAACTGTTTTCATTTTAATTATACAGTGTAATTCACTGCAGTGATTATGTCCATTTCACTGGGTCATTACTTTAGACGATATGTATATTAATATCAATTATTAACACCGAAGGCAGTGCACAGTATCTAAACTAACTTGACAAATCAGTCCAAATTTCTGATGAAACATTTTTTCAGTTGAAACAGATGTTACAGAAATCAAATCACAGTTATCCTTAGTTCATGACATGAACTCAAATAAAACAATTACTGTATTATGTCAAATAAAACAATTACTGTATTATGTCAAATAAAACAATTACTGTATCATCTCAAATAAAACAATTACTGTATTATGTCAAATAAAACAATTACTGTATTATGTCAAATAAAACAATTACTGTATTATGTCAAATAAAACAATTACTGTATTATGTCAAATAAAACAATTACTGTATCATCTCAAATAAAACAATTACTGTATCATCTCAAATAAAACAATTACTGTATTATGTCAAATAAAACAATTACTCTATTATCTAAAATAGAAAGCTTAATTTTTTCATACTGAATTTATTTCGACTATCTGGAATTTACATTAGGCATGGTAATATTGTGAAAATTCTTACCATAAGCTTGAATAACACTCCATGATCAATTTACATAATACATGTACATACCCTTCCCACCTTCATTAAATAACATGTTCGTTCCTCACATAACATTCCCAACTTTACTTAACATGATCCCGTGTTATGTGTTCGGAAATAAATGTGTTGCATAAAAGTAAGGAACAGTTCTTTACTTTTATGCAACACATTTACTTCTTTAACATGTGCCCTTTCCACCCCAGTAAAAAAATTTTTCCCTCTCCCACAAGATCAAACTTCACCAAAGTTCCACTATCCCATGTGCAAAACAATTATTAGACGTTACTCCAGGGATGCCAGATAAAAAAACATTAAATTTGCAAACAATGGATTGTAAGCCACAACAGATCTAAAATGCCTAAGTTTAGAAAATCACACTAATACATATCAATAATTCATTTGCAATGCCATTAAATAAATACCACAGTCACACTGCAAATCGGGAAATTTATGGACAAGTCCAGAAGCTGTGGCTTGAATTCAATTGAGTAATTTGCAAATGACTTGAGACTGAAGACACTCTATTAACAGCCACCTTCGGTGACATAAATTATGGCATACATGCTTTTCCAGTCAACAATTCCCCAGTGGGCGGCTTCACCATTATCACACAAACATCTGTATGATAATTCTTAAATTGATACCAGACATCATTTTTGAGAAAAGTAGAAAATCTTTTGTTAAATACTGCCATACATGCTAAGCAATGCTTTGAAACATGTATCCTGATAATAATTAACATAAAAATATATTCATATGAGCAGTCTGCATGACATTCTGAAGTGTTGTACATTACACTTGTTCAAAAATTTCTCTCATTGAGTGATTATAATCGTTTAAACAACACCTTAAATTTGGCAACAAAAAATTTTGGTGAATCATTTTTCATTTTTTTACATATTTCCCTGTAATTTTTTTTCACTGTGATATTTTAACCACGTTTTTTGGGCATGCTGTGAAACATGTCCTGTTAG